TTTTTGCACTCAAGATATGGAGACATTATGTGTATGGTGGTAAGTTTGATGTTTTTAGTGATCATAAGAGTTTAAAATATTTGTTTGATCAAAAGGAACTGAATATGAGACAAAGAAGGTGGATGAAATTTTTGAAAGATTATGATTTTGAATTACATTACCATCCAGGAAAAGCCAATGTTGTGGCTGATGCACTGAGTAGAAAATCTTTACATATCTCTTCACTAATGATTCATGAGATGAATTTGATAGAAAAATTTAGAGATATGAATTTATCAACTACAGTAAGTCAGGATAGAATACAATTGCATGCAGTTCAAATTACTAGTGACTTACATGGACAAATTGGTGAGGCTCAAGTAGTTGATAAATTTATTCAGAAAAAAAAGAGATTGTTGGGACAAAAGGGTGGTGAAAATTTTAATATAGATAAAAAGGGAGTTTTGAGATTTAACGATAGGATATGTGTGCCTAATGATTCTGAAATTAAGAAAATAATTTTAGGTGAGGCACATAAAAGCAAGTTGAGTATACACCCTGGGGCAACAAAAATGTATCAGGATCTCAAGAGAATGTTTTGGTGGCCTAAAATGAAAAAGGAAATAGCACAATATGTGGCTACATGCTTGATTTGTCAAAAGGCCAAGATAGAACACCAAAAAGCCAACAGGAATGTTACAACCCTTAGATATACCTGAATGGAAATGGGACAGTATAGCAATAGAACACCAAAAGCCAGCGGGAATGTTACAATCCTTAGATATACCTGAATGGAAATGGGACAGTATAACAATGAATTTTGTAGTTGGTTTACCACGAACAACACATAAATTTGATTCCATATGGGTTATTGTGGATAGACTAACAAAATCTGCTCACTTCTTACCCATCAACATCAGGTATTCACTAGAAAAATTGATTGAACTGTACATAAGGGAAATTGTACGATTGCATGGTGTACCATCTAGTATAATATCTGACAAAGATCCTAGGTTTACTTCTAAATTTTGGGGAAGTTTACATCAAGCATTGGGAACTAAGCTTCATCTTAGCTCTGCACATCATCCTCAAACAGACGGATAATCAGAAAGAACCATACAATTCTTAGAAGACTTATTGAGAGCTTGTGTGCTAGAAGATTCGAGTAGTTGGGATCAATATTTTCCTTTGATTGAATTCACATATAACAACAGTTTTCATTCTAGCATAGGTATGGCACCCTATGAAGCTCTATATGGGAAAAGGTGCAGATGAACTGTACATAAGGGAAATTGTACGATTGCATGGTGTACCATCTAGTATAATATCTGACAAAGATCCTAGGTTTACTTCTAAATTTTGGGGAAGTTTACATCAAGCATTGGGAACTAAGCTTCATCTTAGCTCTGCACATCATCCTCAAACAGACGGATAATCAGAAAGAACCATACAATTCTTAGAAGACTTATTGAGAGCTTGTGTGCTAGAAGATTCGAGTAGTTGGGATCAATATTTTCCTTTGATTGAATTCACATATAACAACAGTTTTCATTCTAGCATAGGTATGGCACCCTATGAAGCTCTATATGGGAAAAGGTGCAGAACTCCTTTGTGTTGGTATGAGACAGGAGAAAATTTAATTTTGGGTCCTGAATCCAGAATCAAATAGTACAACAAAAGGAGTCTCAGCTATGAATAAAGTACCTTGTATCAAATTTTCCGACCGAGCAGCTTCAGCACCACTAAGAGCAAATACTCTCCCTACGGTCTTTGGAAGCTCAATTTGCGAACCTGATCCAATAACACGTGTTCTTCGTGGTTCAGGACATTGGGTGCTGATGTGACCCTTGCCACTATAATTGAAGCAGGTAATATCCTTGTCAAGACACTTAGACTGATTATGACCAACACGTCCACACTTCCCACATCTTCTTGAAGGAGTGAACACAGACCCTTCAACACTTCCAGTAGCACTAACAGTTGATCCTCTCAACTTACTTTTATTAGCAGCAGCTTTACTCCCTTGAAATCTATTAGAAGCGAAGTAAGGCTTACTCCTACCCGAAGTACTAGAACTCACAGCACGGATAGGACCTCCAACTCCTTTATAAAAAGCAGCACGAGCACGGTTGTCACGATCATAAATGCTACACTTATTAACCAGAGTGGGAAAGTGATATATCTCCTGATAGTTAATTGCAGTTTTCACTTCAGGACGCAGACCATTTACAAATTTTATGCATTTAGCTCTTTCACCATCCTCACCATGGTAGTGTGTACAATAACGAACCAAAGCATCAAATTTGGTAGCATACTCTGCCACTGTGTCATTCCCTTGATTCAGTTCAAGGAATTCCATTTCTTTCCTACTCCTCACATCATCCGGGAAATACTTCTCAAGAAAAACCTTCTTGAATTTGTCCCAATTCAAGTGTACTCCTTCATCAATCATCCTCCAAAGTGCTCCTTCCCACCAAAAGTGAGCATCAGCAGTCAACATGAAGGTGGCTAACTTCACCTTCTAAGTAAGGGGACAATCCATGACATTGAAGATCTTCTCAATTTCAGTTAGCCAATTCATAACAGCAGGTGCAACAAACCACGGAAAAGATCAAAATGATTCAGGAAAAATTGAGAACGACTCAAAGCAGACAAAAAAGTTATGCTGATAAAAGAAGACGACCTCTTGAATTTCAGGAAGGTGATCATGTATTTTTGAAAGTTACACCAACAACTGGTATTGGTAGGGTAATGAAATCAAAGAAACTCACACCTCGATTTATTGGTCCTTACCAAATCCTCAGAAAAATAGGTCATGTTGCTTACCAAATTTCTCTACTTCCTTTTCTTTCTAATCTTCACAATGTTTATCATGTGTCTCAGTTAAGAAAATATATTTCTGATCCATCTCATGTAATAATGCCTGATACAGTACAGTTAAAGGATAACCTTACATTTGAAACAATGCCTATACAGATCGTAGACAGGAAGATCAAGCAGTTGAGAGGCAAACAAATTTCACTGGTAAAGGTCATCTGGAATGATGTTACTGGAGATGCTACGTGGGAATTGGAAGAAAAAAATTAGAGAAAACTATCCTTATTTATTTTAAGCAATAAAAAAAAAAAAATTCGAGGACGAAATTTCTATAAGTAGGGGAGAATTGTAATGTCTGAAATTTTTAGATAACAATATTCTCAATATTATTAAGTGTACTGTTCTTAAAATAGTAGTTAAAATTTTTAGTTATTATAATATATATATATATAATAGAGAATAAGTATAATATTTTCACAATATATATATATATATATCAAATTTTTATTACAACATTTTAGTGAAATAAAATTATAAAATATTTATTCCTAATTATATAATTATTATGATCTAATTAATAAAATAGAATCATCTAATATTTATTTATAATTTTATTATTATTATT